GGATAAAAATAATAAAATTTTATCCTCATTTGCATTCCAAAGTGCCACCACTTGTTTCCTCCTATCTCTTAGGTATTTGGAAATTTTTTGCTTCTTTTGGCTTTGATCAACTGGCCCTCTTCTTCCGCAGCCCATTCTGTTATGGCTAAGACTTGTCAAGCTTATATTGCTTTCTTTTTTGTCAAGTCCAAAAGCTAGCCTCATCACAGCGATCACTATCTTCGCAGCCAAAAAGCCCGCACCAAATTAGGCAAAACTTATTAAAAGTTTGTTAGACTCTTCCAGCTTTTCCAAGTGGGTGTACATTTCTTCAAGGGCTTCATTTACCTCGTTACACCTTTCTTCAAAATTGGCTGTCAGTTACTCGGGTGCGGATGGCGGCCATTTATAGCAAACCCCTGGGCGTGTTTAATTGACTGAAGACCTTGAAGCAGTGCAGAAAAAAAATCCACAACACCTTCATTTAGCAATGTGGCGGAGGTTTTTTTACATTTTTTTTTTACCGCTGCAGGGGGGGGGCAGCCATTTCTGCAGTGCTTGTAAACAGCTGCTTTCGACAACATTTTGCAGTTTGGGCACAGGGTTTTCAGGTCTTTTGGTGGTGGTCTCAGTAGGCTGCAGCCATTTCTGAGGTGCTGGTACACGCCCTTTTTGCTCAACATTTTCTCGCAGTTTGGACACTCCACTTTCGGTCTTTTTTCAGTGGCAAGGTTTTTACAGCGGTATCTGCGGTGCTCATGCATTGTGTGGCATTGGGTGAACGTTTTGCCACATGCCTCGCAACGGTAATCCCACAACAGCCACATGCTGGGCGATTTTTTCAATGAAACCCTGTCGATGGTGATATATTTGTCACCCGCCGGTTTTCCAAAATACCAAGGATGGTGAGGCAGTGTGTCAGCGACCTTGATCAGCGGAGGCTGTGGTGGATAAGCAAGGCTGGCAAGATAGTTTGTTGGCGGCTCAGTGATGTCGATGAGCACCACAGTGGGCGCTTGCATGAGTCCAAGAAGAGCAGCTGTCGTAGGTCTGTTGGCATTGATTATAAGAGGCATCTTATTCCCAGGGTAGGCAAGTGTTCAAATGGGTTGTGTGACATCAGACTGTGGCGCGTGCCTTCAGTAGTAGATGGAGGGTCTGACAAATACTGGCAAAATTTTGCCGCCAAGGTTAGCCGAGCCGGCAAAATTTTGCCGGTATTTGTCAGACCCTCCATCTACTACTCACTTGAGTCTTTGTGGCCAAAGAACTTCAGAACAATACTGCATGGTGCTGCCTGTGTTTGGACGTTGAAAAGAAGTGGTAAGCCTTGGTTATCTCCTAGCCCGGAGATCACCCCTGCTTCTTCAAGACTTCTTTTTTCTGTCTTTCAAATGAATGCTCCTTGCCACTAATTTCCGTGAACTGTTTGGGAACAACGGTCATGCTTCTATAGTCAGCGAGTTGGCAAGTGCCAAATGTTCCCTTTCTGATGGTTTTTCCCAGTAAAACAATGTTCTTTGGGTCAATCTCAGTGAGCTGGTGTCTCTCCCTCTCCAATTTTGGTGTTGAACTTGCGGGCTGTCAAACCACCGACGTAATCTGGCTTACCGCTTGCCTTCATTCCATGTCCATCCTCTCAGACTGTTCCTTGGTCGTCACCATGCAATTTCCACTCCCACTAACTGGCACGTTACGGAATGGACAGATGCTGGCTACATAGATATCGTTCGCAAAAAGCTCTGCCAATTTGTTGGTTTCCCATTGTTTCAGATCTTCGCCCGCTGCAACTCTTTGCCTGACATTTTGCACCAAAGCTTCAAACTGCTCTTTTCTTCTCTCTTCTTGACTTCTCTGTAATTCTTCTTTCTTCCTCTTTTGTCGACATTTCTTCTGTTCTTTGCAGAGGTTTTTGAAATAAAGCCTTATATTTGTCTTGCTCATCAGGATCCATATCACTTTTGAATATGCTCTACTTATCTACTGATTATAAATACTTAGAGCACACTACTCTAAAAAAGTGTCACTGTTACAATGCTAACAACACTTATTTAACAACCTGATCCAAGGCTGTGATTGGTTGGTTCCTAGGTGTGATAATCACAGCACAAGATCAATTACAAACTCACTTCAAATTGCAAAATGGCTCCATGCAGAACAAACTGTGACTCTTGCAATTTGAAATTCAATTCGACAACAGCCTTATTTAAACAGAGGCAATCAAAGCACTGAAGCGCTAATTCAGTAAAACAGCTACCATTTTAAGGTGGGCAGGAAATAATTGCAGTTCCAGATCCTTATCGTGGAACCCCAAGCTCAACTCTTCAGTGCGAGTATAAAGTGTGGTTAAGCGGAGTGGCAGAAAGCATTAACTCGGCTCTGCACCCCAAAGTATCAGGTAAGAGAAATAACTAGTTTGATTTTTGAGTCAAGCATCCAATAGTCTGGTGAAGTAATTTCTATTCGTAATGTGTGAATCTGGCATTAAAGTGAGACTTAAAATAGCTCAAATACATGTAACAATGTGCTGTTACTTGTGCCAAGTTTCCTCGCGTAAGGTGACATTTGCGCGAGCAGTGTGTTTATTCGCCATGGAGTCTATAAAGGCGGAACAGACTTACCTGTGCCCAAAGGAAGCAATAATATCTTTTGAGTACACATTGCTTGGTCTTAGTGACATAACTCTATTAACATTTCATTGCAGGAAAGTGGGGAAGAATTGGACGATTCAACTGTCCCATTCAATTTTTGCACCTGATATTAAAGTGTTTGAAAAGCGCATTTCTGAACAAAATAGATGAACGCTCCCACTGGAGACCACCTGTTTGGAAAAAAGACCTGCCAATTTTCATGGAAGTGCTTCGTGCAGGAGGAGGCAAAAGCAGTCTTTAATGACAGCTCCACACCCTTCACCACCAATAAATCTTTCAGGGGAGAGGAGGCAGTTGACAACTGCAATCCAGGTCGACTCACTGGTATGTCTGCTAATGCCCAAGCAAAAGCAAATGCGTCAGGGTTTACTGGCCAACAGAGCCAGCAACCGACATGCAGGGCATCGTTGGTGGTCGGCTATGGCAAGGGAAGAGCAACCCATGAATTCGAGGTAATTTAGTGGCCAGACATTTATACCAACCAGCATAGAGGAAAGCTTGCTCTCCGCTTGTACATGGCAAAAGTCATGTTTACAAATTGACAATCCTTAAAAGAACATTTGTTGCTGATAACTTATCTTAAGTAGAGCAACATTTACAATCAAAATTGACGATTTCAAATAGTTGATTTGTAGAAAATATAAATAAATAATAAGAATCAAAAGCAACAGATAAATTGCATGTACAGTACATGTACTTCTGGCTGTTTAATTTTTCTCTTCAGAAAACATCATTTTGTTAATACTCTTTGAGCCAGCAGTAGATAATTATGGATAAATACTACAGCAGATTAATAATTAGATTCTCAATTATTGTTATTTGAAAGTCTTATGTACATTTGTAAAAACAATTATTAGAATTAACCACAGGCAAGTAAATGCCCCAGTGGGTCTACTGTGCCAGGTAAAATTTACCCAATGAAACAGCAGATTGATGATTACATTTTCATTGATTGTTATTTGAAAGTCTTATTTGCATTTATAAAAACAATTATTGGATTTAACCACAGGCAAGTGAATGCCCCAGTGGTCTACTGTGCCAGGTGAAATTTACCCAAGGAAACAGCAGATTGATGATTAGATTCTCATTGATTGTTATTTGAAAAGTCTTATTTACATTTGTAAAAGCAATCATTAGACTTAACCACAGGCAAGTAAATGCCCCAGTGGATCTACTGTGCCAGGTAAAATTCACCCAAGGAAACAGTAGATTAATGATTAGATTCTCACTGACTGTTATTTGAAAGTCTTATTTACATTTGTGAAAAAATTAGGTTTAACCACAAGCAACTAAATGCCCCAGTAGGTCTACTGTGCCAGGTAAAGTTTACCCAAGGGAACAGCAGATTAATGATTACATTTTCACTGACTGTTATTTGAAAGCCTTATTTACATTTGTAAAAACAATTATTAGAATTAATCACAGGCAAGTAAATGCCCCAATGGATCTACTGTGCCAGGTGAAATTTACCCAAGGAAACAGCAGGTTAATGTTTAGATTCCCACTGATTGTTATTTGAAAGTCTTATTTACATTTGTAGAAACAATTATTAGAATTAAGCACAGGCAAGTAAGTGCCCCAGTGAGTCTACTGTGCCAGATAAAATTTAACCAAGGAAACAGCAGATTAATGATTGAATTCTCAATGATTGCTGTTTGAAAGTCTTATTAACATTTGTAAAAGAAATCATTAGAATTAACCACAGGCAAGTAAATGCCCCAGTGGATCCACAGTGCCAGGTAAAATTTACCCAAGGAAACAGCAGATTAATAATTAGATTTTCACTAAATGTTCAATTAGGCAAACAAATGCCTCATTAACAGATAGGTCAGAAATTTTCTGACACTACTGAGAGGCTTAATCGAAGTCCATTTACACAATAACTTTGAAAAAGAAATAAATGTTTAGTTAAGAAATTCAGTGTTGTTCATAAATCTGTTCATTCATAAGCTAAAACATCTTCACTGGAGATAGGGATGGAGTTGTCCTTGGTGCAGCTCTAGAATCATAATTTTTCTACCACTGGATATATGGTCAGGCATGAGGTGCTGCAGTGCCAGACATCTAGCGTACATGCAAACATAGACTCCACAGTCAAAGTCATTCTGCTGTTGAGGAATGTCAGTGGGCTTGTTTGCAATGAATTTCCAGTGACTGGCATCAATGGTAGCATCCAACTCATTGAGTAACATCCACATCTTTGTGATGGCTTTTTTGGCTGTTGGCTTGATAAAGCTTCCTGCCGTGCTATCCAGCACCAGAATTTGGAATTGCTTAGGAAATAAAGCAAGCAGGAACCAGTGTCGGCTATTCTCAGAATTGCAGGGCACAAGGACAATATCTTGCTGCAACAGGGGTGCATTACGTGTAAGGACATCTTTAGCTGGCTGTCTCCCCACTGCTTTCTCAAAACATTCCCAACCAATACATTCTACTTTTGATCCTTGGAGTGCACCTTGTTTGGCAATCAGATCAAGATAACTTTCAATGACAAAGTTTGTGAGGTAGTTTTCCTCTGATGTGGGCCTACCGCCTCTCAAAGCAACAAGATCCCTTGAATCAATTACTTTGCTACCTTCAAACACTACTGAACCATCCATCAAGTTATCCACAAAGGCAGATTCTGGGCCTTGAAATATCCCAGTTGCTGAAATCTGGAATAGGGCAGAGATACTTAAAGGTAACCCATGCTTTATTGCTAGCTTCTTCCTGCATCTTGGTACTAGTGGGGCAACTGGGGAGCACACTTCACTTCTGGCCACCTCTTCTACATCATTTGAACTATGCCTTGTTTCTGTACCAGGCAGAGAGGAGGCTTCTACAACAGCATCACTACAATGGAGGACTGGAACATCTGCTGTCTTCAGTTCGTCACTGTTCGAGACACAAGGTAGTGGCTGAGACTGAAGTGGGGCAACACCATCTAGATCATTTGACTCTGCTTCAGGCTGTTTAACCGTGGTATCAGCAAGCTGTTTTAATAAACTTGCTGATCTTCTTGCTTGCAAACTTACAGCTCTCTCTTGGCAGACTGTCTCAAACGATTCCTCCCACTTGTCATGATCATAGATAAAGCTCCTCCTGGGATCTGACACTTCTGTTACTTGTGTCCCATGGTCTTTACTGTAGGTGTAGTTTAGGTAATCTTCGCCAAAGAGCTTTACAAAAAGATCAACAATAACATCGATCCAAACCTCATCCTCCTGAGACCAGCAGAATGTCCGCTTACTCCATCCGCAGCCGCGAAATGAAAATTTCTTTCCTAGATAAGAGAGAAATGAATGTTTAAGCAAAGATTTCTATTTTTTACTGTTAATATTGTGGTTTTACTTGCAGGTATTTTTTTTAACTTCAAGTTACAATGGGCTTCAGGAGCATTTGGTCTTTCACTAGTGAAATGCTGCAGATGTACACATATACCTACTGATTTTTTTCGCAATTTTACAAATTATAAAAAGTGTTTTACCTGTTGCTAGGCACTGAAGAGCTTGAACAAATTGGAGCCTTATCCAAAGGAGTTTTTCTGCAGAGGAGTGCGTCAAAATTTGATGGACTAAAAGAAGCAAACAAACACTTTTAACACAGTGTACAAGTTACCAATGTCAAAAAATTATTATCCAGGTTGAGTCAGGCTAAACTGAGAAGAAACAGTGTCCATCATCATGGCATCAGACAGGGAAATTATTTCCTCATTTAGCATACTGCAAATTTTGTTTGACGTGTAATAAAAACCTAGTCCTTTGAAGATCGTGTTCATGTGTTATAGATGAATCAATTACAGTTAACCAAGTTAACGAAAAATCGTGAAGCTCATCTTTGATCATGGTTGTCAAAGTCTGGCAGAAGCAATAATTGTTAAATTGTGACTCACTTGATTGGCCTTCTCCTGAGGAATCATGATTGGTGGCCCGAGAGTAAGTACGTCTATCGTCTTTGTGTTTTGCCTCAAATCCTTGATTCGAAAATTTACAGAAAGAGCCATGTTCTCGGAGCAACATTGCACTGTGTTCCACAGTGAGGTGAGAATAGTCTCCCATTCCAAGTGTCACTCCAAACAGGTGACGCAGAAGCAAACCCCACAACTTGCACTACATGACAAAAATAATATTGGTTTAGTAATAGAGGCAACAAAGAAGAACATGCTTTATGTTAAAAACAACTTATAATTCACTACCAGAATTAATGCCTATATATTGAATGACACTGAAATATTAAGAAGTCATTGTGTAAAAATAAAAATGGCTAGTAGGTATTAATAGTTACATGTAGATGTGCAAATGCAATCTAACATAAACCATATTCACAGCTACTATGTAATAATTATTAATACCTTAACATCATGTATATCTATTTGCTCCATTTCATCCTTCTCAAACACTTTGCTTCGAATAACAAGACTTAAGTCATTCCAATCTAGAAACACCTTGAAAATGCAAATAAAAGTTATAACTAATAAAAAACAACTCCATAGGAATAGCACTAAGATATCAAAAACCAGATGATTGAGTAACTATTTTAAAACTGACTATTTTAATGGAGATCACAATGGAAGACTAACAAGTATTATAGTTAGATTAACATTGTGATCACAACCCTTAGTTTAATAATTATTAAGCTCAGAATGTCTTATGTGTGTATAGCTCATTTAGGACAGTAACTATACACAAATTATACTTGACCATTAATTAACAACACTGCCCCAACGTTAACAATAAATAATGTCTTAAGAAAGAGCTTATTAACAGGACCTAAGGCTGAATGTCTCTCTGAATTAGAATCACTCAGAGGGAGTCAGATGAAAACTGAAGGCAACAAGGTAAGCCAGTCAGCTAACCAAGAAAGGCAACTGAACAACTAAACACATGTACCAACCTGTTTAAAATGATCCAGCTGTAATTGTGCCGCCAGTCCTGCCATACAATTCTGAGTTGCATCTTCTTGCTTTGGGGCATTCAATTTCTTCTTCTTTCTGGGAGGCTTCAAACAAGATACACTCTGCTCACTTTGCAGAAACCTCTGTTCAATCTCAACCTGCCTTTTAACTGTTTTGTCATAGGATTCATCTAGGAACTTCTTGAGATCTAAAAACATTAAATACAAAGCTGAGCATACATGTACAACCACTATACAAAATTATAACAATTTATGAATTCAAATAAAATCAGGACAGATGAAGAGTTTACTAGCTATATGATTAATGCAATCTATTATTTTTAAATGTCTACCAATAATAATCACTCCACCAAACAAACAAGCCATTAGTCTCAAGTTTGCTTATAACATCTAAATCAAGTGACAAAGCATTAGTCAAAGACAAACAGTAAGAAGTCCAATTAAAGTTCTTCAGAGTTAATTTCTTTAACTTGTCTGTGTTTAGTTTTACCATAAATTATTTCCCCTTTCTTTCAGCTATTAAATTTCAATCTACATTAAGCTGCTTTATAGAATGCTCAATATATATAACATGCTGTAAATACTTTTCACTGTGCTCTACCTAAACTTTTGCCTCTCTCAGGGAAACACTCTCCTGTCTTGACCCAAAGTCTCTTGTAAATGTGCCACTGTCTAAAATTGTCTTCAGATACTACAGGGATTTGTTCAAGACAACAAATATTAGTAAGCAGCATAGGGTATGGCAGATATTTAATAGCTTACAGAGAAAGTATTCATGATACCTTCACTGATCATTGATCAGCTAATCTGAAACATTCAGAAACACCTAGTGTAAAAAAGCCAATTAATACTATCTGAGTGCGTGGGCTTCAATGTACTAAAATGTTAATCACCGTAAGAAGCAATTACATTATTTATCACACTATGGGAGTTCATGTGAAACATGTACAAATTTACTTGTCCCAGACAACCGTGCAGCACTTCTTTCGAGCCCGGTGTTTTCCCACATTATGACACATAGAATGCATGTTAGCTAGTGTTTATTTTTTACTGGGACTACAACCAGTTTTCCGACCCGTCTGTTATTTTTTCAACTTTTGATCTGTTTGTCCTTTTTTTATTCTCAGAAAATATATTGCTTTTCAATGACTTTCAATGACCCACACTTCTATTTCATGACTTTTCAGGCCTGGAAAATGTAATTATAATTTCAGGTTTGTCACGACCCTATGAACCTTGTTAGTGGAGTAATCCATTTTGGTAGTAATAGCAAAAAAATGTTAGTCAAAAGACAGCTTACCTGTTGGACTTCCTCATAATGAGTTACGTAACCTAGGACAAGCTGTCTACAACTGTCAGGAATTTCTCTATAGTGTTGCTGGATTTTTTCCAAAGGCAAAGATTGTTCAACNCTAACAACACTTATTTAACAACCTGATCCAAGGCTGTGATTGGTTGGTTCCTAGGTGTGATAATCACAGCACAAGATCAATTACAAACTCACTTCAAATTGCAAAATGGCTCCATGCAGAACAAACTGTGACTCTTGCAATTTGAAATTCAATTCGACAACAGCCTTATTTAAACAGAGGCAATCAAAGCACTGCAGCGCTAATTCAGTAAAACAGCTACCATTTTAAGGTGGGCAGGAAATAATTGCAGTTCCAGATCCTTATCGTGGAACCCCAAGCTCAACTCTTCAGTGCGAGTATAAAGTGTGGTTAAGCGGAGTGGCAGAAAGCATTAACTCGGCTCTGCACCCCAAAGTATCAGGTAAGAGAAATAACTAGTTTGATTTTTGAGTCAAGCATCCAATAGTCTGGTGAAGTAATTTCTATTCGTAATGTGTGAATCTGGCATTAAAGTGAGACTTAAAATAGCTCAAATACATGTAACAATGTGCTGTTACTTGTGCCAAGTTTCCTCGCGTAAGGTGACATTTGCGCGAGCAGTGTGTTTATTCGCCATGGAGTCTATAAAGGCGGAACAGACTTACCTGTGCCCAAAGGAAGCAATAATATCTTTTGAGTACACATTGCTTGGTCTTAGTGACATAACTCTATTAACATTTCATTGCAGGAAAGTGGGGAAGAATTGGACGATTCAACTGTCCCATTCAATTTTTGCACCTGATATTAAAGTGTTTGAAAAGCGCATTTCTGAACAAAATAGATGAACGCTCCCACTGGAGACCACCTGTTTGGAAAAAAGACCTGCCAATTTTCATGGAAGTGCTTCGTGCAGGAGGAGGCAAAAGCAGTCTTTAATGACAGCTCCACACCCTTCACCACCAATAAATCTTTCAGGGGAGAGGAGGCAGTTGACAACTGCAATCCAGGTCGACTCACTGGTATGTCTGCTAATGCCCAAGCAAAAGCAAATGCGTCAGGGTTTACTGGCCAACAGAGCCAGCAACCGACATGCAGGGCATCGTTGGTGGTCGGCTATGGCAAGGGAAGAGCAACCCATGAATTCGAGGTAATTTAGTGGCCAGACATTTATACCAACCAGCATAGAGGAAAGCTTGCTCTCCGCTTGTACATGGCAAAAGTCATGTTTACAAATTGACAATCCTTAAAAGAACATTTGTTGCTGATAACTTATCTTAAGTAGAGCAACATTTACAATCAAAATTGACGATTTCAAATAGTTGATTTGTAGAAAATATAAATAAATAATAAGAATCAAAAGCAACAGATAAATTGCATGTACAGTACATGTACTTCTGGCTGTTTAATTTTTCTCTTCAGAAAACATCATTTTGTTAATACTCTTTGAGCCAGCAGTAGATAATTATGGATAAATACTACAGCAGATTAATAATTAGATTCTCAATTATTGTTATTTGAAAGTCTTATGTACATTTGTAAAAACAATTATTAGAATTAACCACAGGCAAGTAAATGCCCCAGTGGGTCTACTGTGCCAGGTAAAATTTACCCAATGAAACAGCAGATTGATGATTACATTTTCATTGATTGTTATTTGAAAGTCTTATTTGCATTTATAAAAACAATTATTGGATTTAACCACAGGCAAGTGAATGCCCCAGTGGTCTACTGTGCCAGGTGAAATTTACCCAAGGAAACAGCAGATTGATGATTAGATTCTCATTGATTGTTATTTGAAAAGTCTTATTTACATTTGTAAAAGCAATCATTAGACTTAACCACAGGCAAGTAAATGCCCCAGTGGATCTACTGTGCCAGGTAAAATTCACCCAAGGAAACAGTAGATTAATGATTAGATTCTCACTGACTGTTATTTGAAAGTCTTATTTACATTTGTGAAAAAATTAGGTTTAACCACAAGCAACTAAATGCCCCAGTAGGTCTACTGTGCCAGGTAAAGTTTACCCAAGGGAACAGCAGATTAATGATTACATTTTCACTGACTGTTATTTGAAAGCCTTATTTACATTTGTAAAAACAATTATTAGAATTAATCACAGGCAAGTAAATGCCCCAATGGATCTACTGTGCCAGGTGAAATTTACCCAAGGAAACAGCAGGTTAATGTTTAGATTCCCACTGATTGTTATTTGAAAGTCTTATTTACATTTGTAGAAACAATTATTAGAATTAAGCACAGGCAAGTAAGTGCCCCAGTGAGTCTACTGTGCAAGATAAAATTTAACCAAGGAAACAGCAGATTAATGATTGAATTGTCAATGATTGCTGTTTGAAAGTCTTATTAACATTTGTAAAAGAAATCATTAGAATTAACCACAGGCAAGTAAATGCCCCAGTGGATCCACAGTGCCAGGTAAAATTTACCCAAGGAAACAGCAGATTAATAATTAGATTTTCACTAAATGTTCAATTAGGCAAACAAATGCCTCATTAACAGATAGGTCAGAAATTTTCTGACACTACTGAGAGGCTTAATCGAAGTCCATTTACACAATAACTTTGAAAAAGAAATAAATGTTTAGTTAAGAAATTCAGTGTTGTTCATAAATCTGTTCATTCATAAGCTAAAACATCTTCACTGGAGATAGGGATGGAGTTGTCCTTGGTGCAGCTCTAGAATCATAATTTTTCTACCACTGGATATATGGTCAGGCATGAGGTGCTGCAGTGCCAGACATCTAGCGTACATGCAAACATAGACTCCACAGTCAAAGTCATTCTGCTGTTGAGGAATGTCAGTGGGCTTGTTTGCAATGAATTTCCAGTGACTGGCATCAATGGTAACATCCAACTCGTCGAGTAACATCCACATCTTTGTGATGGCTTTTTTGGCTGTTGGCTTGATAAAGCTTCTTGCCGTGCTATCCAGCACCAGAACTTGGAATTGTTTAGGCAATAAAGCAAGCAGGAACCAGTGTCGACTATTCTTGAATTGCAGGGCACAAGGTCAATATCTTGCTGCAACAGGAGGGTCCCCTATACCTCTTCTGAAAACAGTTTCATGCAAAAGTAATTGGCCTTTTCACGCATCATGAAAAATTCGAAAAACAGCTTCACGTTCACAGAAAAAAGTAAGCAATCATGTTTCACGCGAAAATGCAAAGGCTAAATCATGTTTCACGTAAAAATGCAAATTCTATTCACGTTTCACAAAACATACAAATACAATCATTACAAAAATGTATCTGGCAATACTGAAATGTACCACAGTAGATATAGCTGCACATGGCCA